TGCAGTAATTTTGGTTTTCATGCATTAGGTACTCATTACCAGCAGAGAAACAAAGTAACTGTATATGCAGAGATAGATATCTGTGTGTGTGCGTGCATGCGTGCGCATACATACCCACATACTTTTGGTCAAGGTTTGCTTTCTACACCAAGTAGAATGCTGTAATGCATAAGGAAACCAAACAGCAGCCTCTCACTAGACATGTATCACAGCCCCAATAGTGAGTTCTCCTCCCATCAAACAGGCTAGTTAAATATATTTTCTTTGGTCAAAAAAACTTGCTGGAAAAAAGTAAAATTATTTCTAGTATCTGTGATAGGTGTTTGGGGTGGTGTTTTTTTTATTTCCTTCAAATTGTAGCTATTGTAGCTTTTCTCAAGTTTCAGTTTCTACTGATTAAACATCAGTGAATTTGAAGGAAGAAAACAATGCAAGTTAAGAACTGTTGAAGAAGTCTGGTTTGGGTCTTTAACAGAAATACTTATCCAGGTGGTAAATACTCATCTCCACAATTAAGCATAAACTCTTTGGTGCACCTTTGACTCAAATCTTTCTCCTGGGAGAACATCCTCTTTTCAGTGTCTTCATTCCTTATTTTCAGTAGTGAGAATACCTTTAATCCTCTTATGAGGGTACAGTGACAGAGCTAGAAAGTTCAGGGAAAAGAGCACCACACACATATGAATTATGATTACTCACTCACTGACCAACACTGAACTGTTGTTCCAGGACACAATCACAGGGTCAGCGTTACAGTTGGAATGAAAATCATCTATCTACCCCACACTCCAGGCTAACACTCTTCCTTCCTGCTTTTAAAAAACTAAATACAGAGATACAACTAAATTTTCTGTCATAATACAGGAAACAAAGAATTCCCACCCTCAACAGTAAATCTAAAATTCCTGTTACTCATTCTTTTGCTCCAAAGAGAGTCCTCTTTCCCATATCACCTAATTTTACTCTGCAAAAGTTTACTTTTTTTAAAATTAATATTTATCCAACAATGAACCTTCCTCTAAATAACTTTGGACCACCTAAGAGAGACTAGAATTTTGAATCTATGCCATGGGCATAAGAGGAAAGAGGTACTACTGTCCGAACAACTCTAGTAATCCAGCTTTCCACACATCTAAATAAATGCTTTGGCCTTTACTTCTCTAACCTGATGAAATGTAAGTTCAACATGTAGTAGCAGAAGCTGGGGGTTAGGACACTTAGAGATACAGTTTGGAAAACAGGAGGTGAAAGATAGGAACATGTCCATCTTCCAAATTTAAAGGCAGTCTCCAGCGTAGCTCAGATCCCTCCCAGTGAGGACTGCTTTTCCATGGCTCCTTACAACATCCTCTGCACCACCAGAGAGTGCCTGTTGTCACAGGCAGACATATTATACCAATTCGCGGCCTCAGGTGCCATGCTTAAGTTCAGTTTTCACAGTTGGAATAAAGATCCTTGTGGCATTAGTTAATCAATCTACCCTTGTATAAGGACTTTAGGCAGTTGCATTATTTATAATGGTTTCACTTTTATTTTCAGTAAGACTATCTGTACCTACTGATGCTGCAAATGTCTTCAGAAGTTACAGTCCCTTAGATAGGGAACCTTTAGGGCAGGTAAAAAAAAAGAGTGTGGATGGATGGCTTCTGTTCCATGTAGCTAAAAGAATCCAGTAGTGTCCTTTACCCAAAGACAAATTAATATACTACACAGGAGAAGCAGCAGCATCAAGAATTACATTGGCCTAGTTTAGAAAACATTTGGCTAGCAGGATTCAGGGCAAATTCCAATCTCATTATCTTCAAAAACCCAATTAACGAGTCATCCTATAAGAATGGCAGCTACTTAAGCCCTTTCTATCTTTTGAATGCAAATACACATTTTTGTTTTTCTTGCCCTTTAAACAAGGAAAGTACCGCATTAATGAAAACAGCCTTTACTGAAAAAGCCACATGGGCTTATCTGGTAATAGCCCCAGCTAACAAGTATGCTCTGACATCTGCTTACTCAGAGGAGGAGTTAGTGGTGTCCAGAAAGGACAAATGAGGGAAGACAGAATACGCACTAGTGCATCTAACACCAAAACCATCTTTATCAATTCATTGAGGTACTTGAGCCTGAAAACATGGTTAAAAGCAACAACTCCTGTTAGAATAGCGTGTTACAGAGAAAGTTAAAAAATGTTAACACCCTAAAGTTGGCATGAGAATTCCCACTATCTTCTTGTCCACCCAGAAGCGGGTGTGTGCAGTGGCTATTCGGCTCCCTAGGAGAACCGCACCATTCCAGCTGTGCGCTCGGCACAGACGCTCTGCTCAGGGGGAAGAATGAAGCTGTTATACCTTTGTGATCACTGTCCAATCTTCTTCTGCTCAGAGGCTCAATCTGCCGACAGCACAAACACAACTCCATTAGGCCAGCTTGAGAAATCATCTCCAGCACTACTACCTGCTTTTACATTAGGCTTCTGATAAATCAGCACTATACACATCATGCCAGATCATTTTGTGATTTGATGCAAATCATGCATTTCAAAACAGTCTGAAAGTAAAAGAATTTGTGAAAGGCTATGACTCCCAAATCTTCTACAGAAGCTTCACAATTGTCCTGTTAATCTGAAATGCTGGTATCAAAATGCATCCACACATAATGCTTCCATTACATATCTACCAACAAAATAACCAAGAGGAAAAACTTTTACAAGATGGTTGTGGGGTGTTTTTTTGTAAACATTTGCTTCCATAAAGCTGTATTTGCCTGCTATAGTGCTACATACTAATAACATACTGCTCCATATTTCAAACTCCAGTAACATCCCTTTAAAGCACAGAAATTAACATTATGCTGATGCTTGTTAAAGCAGCAATGAGATGACACATCACATTCAACTCGCTTTAACAGCTCAAATTATTGCATATTGTACCTGTACCTAGTTGTACCAATTTAGAAAAAAAAAATCCGTGGGAAAAAAAATCCATCCTGCAATTAAAGTAACATTCATAGCAATGCTCATGGTAATTTTCTCATTTTTCACTGAAGAGAGAAAAGCTGTTAACATTCCCCCATGATGTGAAAAGTATCACCATAACAAAACCTGCCCCATTTCCCCTATGCTTTATCATATTTTTGTTATTCTAACCACAGGTCTTCAGAGTTGTTACATGTCCCTTCAGCTGAAAGATCAATAGCAACTTCTGTGGAGAACTCCAAAACACATCGAGAGATTGAGTACATCACCTCCAGAAATTTCCAGGCTTAGTTGGTTTGACTGACCACAGCCTGAGGTCCAGGCACTGAGTTTTGTTGTCCCAACACACCAGTGAAAAACAGAGCACTACCTTCAGGACACTCCTCTATGTTTTTCCCTTTTAACAATTTACCTGACACTGCCTTCTTTCTGCAATCACTCAGAGGAGTGCCTTATTGCATGTTAAAAGACAAGATATGTATTGAAAGTAGCAATTTTATTTGAGTTAAAATTATTTACAAAAACCCAAAGACATACTTCATGAAACTGGTACAAACTATTTTTCCTGCCGTTGGCTTTTGCTCCAAAGATCACAGCTGAGAAATACTGTATAAAATAAAAATAGGATTGGATTCAGAAAAGTACTCTACTGTTCTAATTTCCAATTGAGAGTATTTACACAAATATTTACAATGGAAAAAAGTTACTTTAAAACTTTAATTTGCAAGTTGGCCTCAAGTACCCTTTAATGCAGAGTTATTTGAGGGTCTAACACACAAAAATGCACTGCAGTTCACAGGGTGATTTCTCCCCCCACCCTCAAAAAAAGAAATCTGCATTTGTCAGTGCTTGACAATTAGTTACATTTAAAAAAAACTGTTAAACACTGAGGTAAATCAATTCCCAAACAATTACCAGTGTAACGAAGAAAGGTAGTTGTCCCTGCTTTCCCCCATTATGACATCTGTATTTTATTTTTCTCTTGCCATCTCTCCACAGAAAACTACATAATCAATTTGAAATCCCATTATAAGTGAAAGTCTAAACCCAGAAAACTAGATGGGCAAAATATTCAGTAATTACCTCCTGATATAGAGCATTTACATACAGCTTCTCTCTCTCTCTCTTTTGACACTGTTTTGCTTTTTTTAAACAAAGGGGAATACAACCTCAAAAACTTTTCTAAGTTACACTGATACACTAAGTTTTAGAAGGTGATGAGAGAAAACGCAAAAAAGTATGACCAACATAGGATTTTTGCCACTAATCAGTTACTTCCTTACAGAATTCCCAACAATCTGCATTATCAAAAATAGGAAGACATAGAAGGCAGCCACTGTATGTAAAAAATTTACAGCTGGCACTGATACAAAAGCACGAGTTCTTAACTTTATACATGGAGATAACACAAGATCTAAAAGCAGGTTAGATTTCCTGTTATTTCCCCCTCATTATACATAGAACTAATATTTTTATGGCTTCAAGTTTTACAAATTCAATGGAATAACATGATGGAACTACCTATACAGGTATTTAAAAATGTCGATGAAGCAGATCTCAGAACAGTCTGCAAATATTCAAGACCACCTTAATAAAAATAATTACCAATTCTGTTGGTCTGAATAATGAGTGCAAGAAAAAAATTGTTAAAAAGAGTCATGTATGTTCTGGGATTCTTTGTTCCACTTAAGTCTTCAAACACAATGCTTTGCTGTGAACTAGACCTCAGACTGAACAAAATCTTAGCTATATCAGCAATTTAAGGCTTTGTGTTGTATGCATTTAAACTTTGTCATACTACAGAAGAATGAAATAGAAAGATTATGTCAGCTGGAAACATTAATCCCCATTGGTGTTTTAGCTTCTTTAAAATTCTTCCCCCTAAAACATCCAAATTCTTTGTATTGAGCATTATAAAATACATCTTCAGTGCTTCCTTGAGACAAATTAAAACAACATTTCAAAGTTTTTGCTTATTAGAAGTGTAAACTACCCTGGGATTGAATATCTTTTTTTTTTTATTTTTTTTCCAACAGGGCACAGCTTTTTACAGTTGCTGTTTCTTTTGTGGATAACATATCCTCAAATGGCTTTGTGTGTTTATGGGTTTGCATGCTTCTTGGAACTACAAAATGTTATGGTCTGTCAGTTTACAGTACATGGGCCATGACAGTTTTAGAACTGAGAAATAGTTCAACAACCTAATTTCAATCAAAACAGTATAAAAAATAAACTATCCAATCCTCGCCTCTTTGGATTCCAACAAATTTTAAATATAGACAGTAGTTAAAATCACAAAAGTATTTAAAAATTTATATTTTATGATTTTGGAATAATCTAGTAATAAAAAAGCAAGAGCAAATTAAACTCAAATAGGAGCGGTGCTGCTGTCCAGAACTTCTTTATTAGAACATTTGTTTGATACCTCAGTAGCTAAGCTGCCTTTGCACCTGGCTGGCATGAAACAGTGGCTCAACAGTAAACAGCAGTTGCACTATCAGCAGCAAGTTTTTCCCCTTGAAACTTGTCACGAACAAAGCAAGAAAAAAAAAGATAGGGAGGGTAAACCCTGCCAAAAAAATATTTAAATACTGCACTGCATCATAAACAGCATGGTTTCTTTATTTACTTTCCTCAGAACCTTTTTCCCCTCATTTTTGATAGTTGCAGATTGATGTAGTAACTGTCTTTTAGAAAATGCTGAATGCATGGTTAAGAGACCAGGTAGCCTTAAAAATCCGAACACGAATGACACAGATGAATGCTCTTGGTATATCCATCAAGGACTTCTTTCATGACTTCTTCTTTTGTCTAAGGGTAGCTCCAGCATTAGAGTGCCTGCAGCGGAAGTTAAGTATCTAGCAGTGTTCCAAGTATTCAATCACCCTAGAGATAGATTTCTGGCCTGTTGTTCCAACAGCACACTGGAAAATGTAATAGAAAACAGAAGTAACAAACGAGCATTTGTAATACCTCTTCAAAATACCTGAGAGCTATGCTCATCTCAGAATTTTAGTATTTAGAATTACTTATCAGTAAAAGCAGTTAGGTTCAGGCAGAGGATTCAAAAATATTCTCCTGACCAGTCACAATCAAAGGGAATGAAAGTAGCTTCATTCCATTTATTACCAAAATAATGACAAATGGGTTTTCAGTGTTTAAAAACAGAAAGTCATCCTGTGCTCTTCTAAACACACCAACTGAAAAGTGTTAAATGCTTCTACAAATGTATGGACTATTAACAAAAAACACAGTTACAAAAGTATCTACATCATCAATTTAAAAGATGTAATACTTACAGTAAGATTCATAAAACTGAGAAATTTTTTCAGCATTTCAGTCATTATAGAGAAGTCCCCTTCAGGTAAGTACTCCCTCACAGTAGTCACATTGATCTAAGAAATAAAACAATTTATTTTAATTTGGAAAATATTTTTCCGGCACAGAACTATATTACTCTGCATGTGAGATGCAATAAGACAAGTATATTCATAACATTATTAAGATGGCTTTTGCTGTCAGCTCTATGATTTAAGTCTCTTTTAAACAACACTCATATGTTTATGGTGTTTATGTTTCTAGGAAACAATTGGGGGGATCATTACTACCATCAGACCTCACCAGGACCTACAAAATTATCAGGAAATAAAAACCCCACCAGATTACTCTCCTGACATGGAGACAATCTCCCTTTATAATTGCTAAGGGTTGAGAATTATTGCACTTCTTGTCAGTATCACTCCAAACACTAAAACTGTATGGAAGCTAATCAGTCAAAAGGTACAGAACAGCATGTTAAAGACCCTTCTGCCATCATGGTAAATTTAGACAAGCCTGAAGGCAGGTCTGAACCTCATTTTCATTTGAGCATATATTTGACAGGAGAGTTTATGAAATTCTCAGCCACTAGAGTTCCATATTTTAAAGTTTTAATTTCAGCTTTCTATTATGTATTTCCAGTCTGAGGCAATCATCAACTAATATGGACGTACACGATTTCATGTAATTTACAATGGAGGAAAAAAATAAAGCAGCCTGGTAAAAAAGAACAAACAAGTCTGATGTTAACTTGCTTATTGAAACTACTGAAAAATAAAGCAAACTTTTATAATTACAGAACAGGCCAGCCAATTTTCCTTTGCCTTTCTGAAGTAAGTTCATTTGTTGGCTATGACTAACAGTGAAGGGGAGAGAGGCGGAAGAGGTTAAATATTCAATTCCAATTTTTTTGATAAACACACTCACGTTCAGCAAAGTTCTTTTGGATGGAATACCTCTGGCAACTTCTCAAAAAACTATATACATCAGTGCAGCTGCATCAACATACTAGCTACATCAAACACTAATTTAATAAACCCATTTCAATACTGCAAATTATTACTTCACTAAAAATTTGTATTGGACTTCAGAGCAAGTTATTGACTTATTCCCTTACTGGACTCTCTTGGCAGAGACAGCCTAGAAGCAATGCTGTGTATGAGGCCACGATGCAGTCTTCCATGTGCTTCCCAGCATGCTGAAGAGCTGTAAAGAGAGACAACGGCTGAATGTATTGTATTCTCTAAGCAGCTGGTATCTTTTACTGCTTTGAATACAATCTTTCATTATCGCTTGTCAGAATTTTTTCCTCAAACAAAATGAGCTTTTGGACTGAGACTTCAGAGGCAAGAATCAGCCAAACTCCGTACTTACTAACTCAGCAGCACATTCTTGAACAGAAAAAGCATTCATTCGCTTTCAACTCATTACATCGGAAACTATTTTATTAATTGCCATTTTAATGTGCAAACTGTATGCTTAAGACAGCAAAATACAAATATAAATGTTTTGCATGATACTGTAAGCCAGTAAGACTTCCACCAAAAGACGTTTATTGTATTTTAAGGCTAATAGATATAGCACTTTTTGCTAATGACTCAGCATTTTTGGGCAAACCACAAATAGCTGCAGATGCCAGTTGATGAAGCTACAAAAAGAATGAAAGATATAAAGCAAGGTTGGAGGAAGTAGTAACATGCACCTACTATTAAAAGGTTAAAACACTATTAGAAGTAATATACTGCACCTACTATTAGAAGATGAAACAAGAACGACTGATATTTCAGACCTGGTATGTTTTCCAGAGAAACTACATAACTCAGCTTAGAGATACTTAAATTCCTGGAGCAAACTACCAAAGATGCAGTATACCAAATCATGGCACAGGTACCTGAGATACCACTGATGGAGTGAGAACTCAGACCAAAGAAGATGCGAACAGAAAAAGCATACATGCAAATAGGGAGGGAATGAAAATAAACAAAACCTAGTAGTAGCATGAAACAAGAACGGGTCATGATACCCTGGAAGACAAAATTAAGGCAAGTAACTTTCAGAAGAACAAGATAAAGGCCTAAAAGCCACCCCTTCCAGAATCCTTCTTACACAGATTGTCCCTAAAAAGGTTTAGGTTTTGGTGTTTGTTGTTGGTTTTTTGTTTGTTTGTTTGTTGTTTGTTTGTTTTTTTTTTTTAAAGTTTTGGGGTTTGTTTTGTTTTAAGCAGGAACTGATAGAAGGTACTATTAAGGAAATAAAAAGTAGTATAACTTCTTCCACTTCTCAAGCTTCAGCTCTGAGCTGCTCCTGCTGGTGGTCTGCAACAGTTTCACCTGGCGGAGACGCTAAGGAAATCCCCGCCCAAGAGACTGCATGGAGATAGGAAGCAGAGGACAAGGTGGGAAGTTATTGCAGTCAGTTCTTTGCCTTTTCCAAGCTCATCACAACCAGACAACGTACCTTTATTAAGATCAAGTTCTTCATCATCTTCTTCCTTCTTATCTTTCTCTTCAGTACTATCTGGCTTCTCTGTGGAGACCCACTGTATCTCCCCACTTGTCTCTTGCCATTCCCCACTCTTATCATGCTGAGCCGTAGGAGCTTCTTTAATCAATTCATCTGTCTGGCTCTCAGCCAGCTGTGCCGCTCGCTCACGCTCAAGAAATAGCTAATGGGGGAAATTTCAGGAGAATTTCTATTACAAATTAAACCCTAAACATATTGAATTATTACTTGAAAGTTTATTTCCCCTTCACAATTCACCCCTTAATACAGCTAGTCTTCAATACTTTTCTTAACAATAGCCTTTTCTTCTTCAAAGGAAAATATAATTTATCCCAACACTAACACTGTGCTCTACAGAAAAGGCCTCCCTCCCCAGTGCTGAACCAATTGTCAGGCTCCTCTTTCTTAGGCATCGTAAATGTTTAATCATTTTCTTTGAGACACAGCTTGAAGACTAAAAGTTGCCATATTTTCCTGTCCATTTTTGTTCTCTACCAATCCTCATTTTCTTTTCATGCTAGCTATCCCCTCTTTACTCTCTTAGCTTTTCCCTTGATATGCAAAAAGCAAAAATTTGAAAGAGTAATTTAAAATGACTTATCAAGGATGTGACTGAAACAGGAATCTCATATTGTGCACTCATATCTTGTGAATTACTTCCCAAACGATACAACCATGAGTTTTATAGTATACAGCTCGGCAGAGCAATATTTAAGATATTTAATATTGTTATTTTTATTGTTGATTTTTTTTGTCTGCTGCTGGACAGTTATTTCACATAGTTAAGTAGAAGAACTGCTAAAAGTGTCCATAAAATTATCTTCATTGACATAAAAAGGCTGTAATTTCCTTTTTCAATTCTTCTATTTTAGTTTGCATGGTGGAACTCATCCAGCAAAACTATGGGTGGATTTCTTTTTTTAACAAGTTAGTCAATACAACATTCAAGAATGCCATTTCACATCCATAATCATTACACCCGTATTTTCTTGCTCTTATACAGCACGATACTTTTTTTTAATTTAAAGTTGCAAACTCCCAGAAAGATAGTACTTAAAAAAATAACCGACTGAAGCAAAGTATTTAAGACGAGAGTAGCTTCCAATTTTTACAGCTGGTTTAAAAAAAATCTAGAAGTAAAACATTTAGGAACAAGAAAAGTAGAAATAAACTGTATATGAACAAGAAAGCTTTACAGAGCACGACAGCAGCCTTTGGATGTCTGTAACAACAGCACTGTCTTTTACCAGGAAAGCTGTTTCTGTAATGGACAGTACTGAAAAAGCCAAAATTGTGAGCAGCACCCCTCTTCCCCCATTATGCTGTATTACTCGAAATACTAAACAGAAAAAAAAACTCTGACATATCTTCATTGCTGAGTTCTCCCTTCCCCCTTGTCAGTCTGATAATGAGAAATGGTAACTATTACAGGAAAAATACATTTCTTACCTGCACTAAAGCCTGAACAGCATCAATCTGTCCAGTTATCTTTAGGCTATCATCTCCTTCTCCCGTACAGAATGAGTCAAAAGAACACGATGTTTCCATATTGACAAGACAGTGCCTATTCCGAGCACTGTATTCTACTAGATTGATCAACAGACCCAATCCCTGCAGGAATTGGAGAGTCAAAGAGCATTACACACATTAAAAAAGGATAATTTAGCAAAGAACATCGATCCAGATAAATGTCTTCTTTAGGTCTTATCTTTCTGAGGATACATAACTTCCTAAGTCACCTTTATGAAACAGTTTGATAGATAGGGGGATCAGGATTTAAAGAAATGAGGCAGAACTGAGACCCCTGTATACTAGAACTTGTATGCAGGAATCTCCGTTTTTCCAATTCTGAACATGAAAACATTTTTAAAGATGAGATTTCATTTATAGACTAGGGATTCAGGTGTCCAACTCGAATCTACATTTTTTCCCCACCAAACACAGGGAAAAAGGTTAGAGCTCAAAACCACAAAATCCTGCCAGAAAACCTTCTTTAAGTACCTCACTAAGTATATTCTTATATATACGGTCAATGAAAATTGTAGAGGCTGCTCCTTAATTTGGAACCAGAGTAGTTAAACACAAAACAAGGAGGGAAATCATTTTATGATAATGTAACAAATACAATAGCTTACCAGCACCCGAATATCAAATCTCTGCTCTTGAGGTAGGAACTTTGGAACCTGAAGCACACAATTCATAGCTGTGCCTATCAGACCATCTTGTTCACCTGTTTTTGTACTACCCCATTCTGTAAACAAAAAGAGTTTAGAGGCTCAATTTTGAAAATAACTCGTTTTCATAATCGTAAGCAGATTGATAAAAACCTTTTGGCCCTAAAGACAAAGGGGACTCTCTTAGCCAAAGCACACACCACTTAATACTTGCAATTACTCATCCAATTTGCAAAGACAAATTACTGAATACTGTAAAGCAAGCATCTATCATACATAACTGCTTTATTGCATTGTACATGGAAAAACCATAATGGGTAGAAGAAAAGGGTTTTCATTAGTGTTATATTTGATGCTTTAAGATAGAATATGCAAATTTTGATTTGTTTGTTTTACCATTATCATTTGTCAGGTTGAGCAAGACACCAATGATGGCCCTCATACAGTCTTCTACTGCTTTACCCACATGGTTAGTTACATTCTGGTGAGGCAGAGGCTTATTGTCTGGTAAACAGATACTGTCTTCAGCACGATTATATCGCTGGATTAACTCCTCACAATGCTGCAGTGCTCTGCGGGGAGAAGACGCAGGACAAAATTACCTCCACAACATAAAGGATACTCCACCTTTATACTCGTTTCACCATGAAAAAAAACCTCAAATACAGAGCTTATGCAGAACTTTTCTGATGCCAGATGCCCAGTCTGTAGGGAGAGATGATAAAGTTATCACCTACCAAATCTATAAGCTCAGCTGAAACTGTGAAAACAAAAACCAGGAAAGCTTTGTGGCTTAGAGCTTTATCAGCTGACCACCACATTCTTCTGACAGTGTTACCTAAATGTTGTCTTGTTCTGTCCTCAGAGCTATTCCTATTCTGTAAGAAATAACTGACACGTGACTTTCTAGCAGAAAAATCTTCATCTTGTAACAGGACCACAGGCATGATTCTACTTCATGACATTAGTTTGATGTTAAACTGACAACACTGATCTCAATTACAAACAAACAAAGAATGTCAAAAATATGTATTGCTCTAAATACCACAGTAAACTGCGGGTTGTGGTTTTTGGGGTTTGGGTTTTCAAGTTTAAAGAAATTTAAATTGTAATAAAATCAAATTTAAAGAAATACTCAAAATGCCTAACCTACAACCATGAAATTACATTTCCAGTGAGGTCTGCAGAATCAAATTTTCAGCTTAACTTGTTCTCTTATGAAGAGCAGTACAAGAGGGATACAATCTCTGCTAGTCAACTGAGACCTCACCCAGATTGCTAAATGGGTTAGAGGTGTTTGTACAAGCATCTTTGCCAGGGAGAACAGCCAAGAACAGAATTTCACTATTTTAATTCTTAGTTACACTGTCAATTCTGTTACACTCTGTTTCAGTAAACACTTAAGCATAATGAAAACACAATAAAGGAGTATGTAAATAAATGTATGTAGCTTCCCAACTGCCCTCTTCTGTGTTCGTATTAACTTAGTACAGAAGGAGCTGAATCCACAGTCTACAGCTTCTACAGAACCACTAGCAGCAGCACTACATATTGGTAGTAGTCAGGTAGTTACCCATACCCTCATCTAAATTAACTTTAGCATTACATCATGAAAAGCAACAGTGCAAATTGTGGGGTTTTCCCCTCTACAATCTTCTGGTATAACAATTTATTTCTTTTTGCCCTATCATGAGCAGTGCTCTGCCAAAATAATGTCTTTTTGTTACAACTTACTTAGCTGAGGAGACTATGAGTTGTGAGTCTTTATATGCTATCAGATAGCTCTGATTTTCTGGATTATGCACAGTTACCTAAAAAGAAGAGGATAAAGTAATATTAAAAATGGGACTTTTTTCCTTGCAAGACAAGCATTCCCTTCCACTACCAACCCGCTTTATTCGGTTCCGCATTTCTTGGTTATTATCCAGTGTAAACCTTCACTTATCATTGTCCAAGATTTCCTTGGAGTTTTCACTTTGTAATTAATAACACAAAATCGTGGCACTGAAGATAAAACCATCTTCCCTGATAGAGTAAGTATGGAAACCGTGTAGCAGAATGTTCTGCCACAGCAGAAACCTGCATCTATATCCTGGGACTACTGTGCCCCAAGTGGGTATGTAAATATATATAAAAACATAACCCAGAATACAATTATATACCTAATGTTATTTTTAGGGACTTGACATCAACTCCATTTCCGAGAGCTTATTATGCATCCAACCATAAAAATCAAGTTTTCCTTTGATTCTGAATTTCAATCAAGGGAATCAATTCTCAGAAAGTGTAAAGTTCTTCTCTTAAATTTGCACAATTTGGTGTGTTGATTTTTGTTGTCTCTCCCAAGTTCCTAAGGATCTTATTGCATCGCAAACCACCCTTACGTTCAAATTTCAATATTCTACCACTAAACAAGGCTCTTCTACTGTTGCTTGGCAATTCCATCTATCAGAAAAGCGGAAATTGGATCTGAAAATTTTTCTCTCACGTTCAGAAGGCAGGTAAAGAGCTAAGTGCCATTGATTTTTAAGTAGGCACCCCTGAATTAATACTTCAGCAACTGTTAATCTTTTTCAGTGTTTAGCTTACTTTTACACTGTCTTTGAGTCTGTCCTTTTATTTTAGTGAAGAAAACATGTTACTGCTGTAGCTATTTGCCCTCTGACTTGGGTTTAAGGTGTTCATTAAGATTCATTGACCTGTACTCTGAACCCGAACGTTGCTTTCTGATGTGTGGAGATGTACTGCTAAAACTTCACAACACTCTTCTGCTTGTTTACCGTACCACAATACAAAAAGAGTAACACTAGTAACAAATATGAAAAAAACAGCAAAATAAGGCATTGTAGAGAAGCATGTGCTCACAATTCCTGTCAATTAAGCTCTACACAAGTACCATGTATTTAAATTCTGTTCAAAGTTCTCCTCAAAAAGCATTTACCGTCTCAATATACACGCTCAGCTGATTACAGGACTAGTCTGACTTTCAGGGCAGTTTTCTCTTTCAGTGCTTAGCCAGCTCATGTTTGAAAGTAGCAATTCTTAAAATGTTCATCAATTTACCACTTCTAAGAAAATACTGCTTTTATAATGATCCGTTATTGCTAGACACACTAGAGTGTCAAACTCATGCCTTGAAAACAACATCCATAAGCAGCAGCTTGTTGTAGAAATTTAAGAAAAAGCATCACAATACATTCAGTTTTCTTACCAAAAATAAACTTGCAACATTGTACATACATACAGAATGGTAAAAGAAATTTTCAAACAAACATTCTGGGAACACTGATAAACATCATAAAGTGAGTATCTTCTATAAAAAATAATCAACATTATAGAGTTATTATGTATCTATATATTGAAAGAATGTAACATTGAAAAGGTCTGGTTGAGAAAAAGCAATTTTCAGAAATGCAATGCATCTGCTCATACTCACACTTTCTAAGACCCGTAAACATCTTTCTGCACCCCATAACGAAGCAACCAGTTTCTCTTCATTTTCATCACTGCTTAGGTGATCCACACATTCTTTAACTAAACAACAACGAAAAGTTATTTTCCACTATCAGTAAGAGGTCTTCAAAAGCCAAACTTACAAACTAATTATCTACTTGGAGAGTTCCCATAAACCTTGTTTCATACTTTACAAAACTCTAATACTAGGAAACAATCACAAAGACATGATCAGCATTCAAAATTTTTCATTTCTCCGAGTAAATTAAGAAAAAACCAAAACAAACAAAACCCCAATCTTAAAATTTTGGCTTTACAAGTTTGTGACTGTTGCCATATATTACCTATCTGTATCTTATTCTCTACTGACAATGAAAAGATTGTACAGAACATGACTATGTTCCTTAACTGTAATGCACTGTTTTGTAGAAGAGAAAAAAGATACAGCATGCACCCTCCCCACCCCTTACAAGTCTAAAACCATGATGCAAGTTGAATACTTTCATCTCTTCAATCTTTCCTTTGTCCACCCCTCTGCTTACCTAAAAGCAAGCTTTATTCAGCTCAAGAATTCATTTTAGATATGTCCCTTCCCCTATCTGTGGGGTGTTGATCTTGGAAAAAAAAAAATAAGGAAACAAAACACCCACCATCTCTTCTTGAAGGGCTGACTTCCTCTGGGATATTTAGTAAAAACACCAGGCCTGAAAATAATTCTATAAGACTGTAAAGGAGATTTTACTCTGGAATAAGTGTGCTGTATTCATGTGCTGTACAGAGATGCAACAGTAATCTGTATTCTGCCTAAGCTTAAGCCATTTTTAATGTCACACATTATATGCAACATTATACGCGTTCTGTTTAACATTAAAACTACTTTCAATCCCACATGCAACAGATTGAAGTCACTAATATTTCCCAGTGACTTGCTGTCGAATTGCGTACTTTACTTTCAACATTGCTGAGAAAAAGACATAATGTTTCTATTTTTAACGACAGAAAACTAACATTAAGAAAAGCAAACATTTTAGTAAGATTCACTGTTTTTTCTCACTGTCAAAACAGCATTTCCAATATACCTTTATCTACAATATGATCGAGACCACCTAGAAGACGCAGTTCTTCTTTAAACCAGTCCCCAGCTCGTTTTGAGGTGAGAGACAGTAATGTTTCCATTGCCAAATGCCCAGTCTGAAAGAGTTAGGTTCCAGAATTAGTGAAATCATCATATGCAGCTGTAGCCAATATATCAAATCATACAAATTACACATCAGATAAAAACCATAAAAACAAAGTTGTAGGTTCTGAGTAGAAGAACCACCAGAGGGAGCAAGAACAGATTGAAAAATATGTATATCTTAAAAAAATTACTTGGTACTGATAAAAAGGTACTTTGCATTTTCAACTTTTTCTTGACTTTATTAATAGCTTGGAAAACCTAAGCAGCCTCCTTTCATCTGTTTCTCTTGTTATCAGAACAAACAAGTGGAGGAAGGAAACAGACAAATCAACCAAACAGGAAAAAAACCCAAGAAAAGCCACAGTGAACACTGCTTCTCTGTCTCCCATATACTGGCTCTGCTGCTTGTAGAATACATTTGATTCTAACGTACGTATTTTGTGTTTTTAATTTTACACTCATAGAAGACAGAAATTGAACTAAAACACTGTAGAAAATCTTACCATATTTACCAATTGATTTTTTTTAAAAAGAGGAATACATATAAAAATTCAACAGCAAAGATAAGTTTACTCCCTGAAAATGGAAACTGAAGAGATTTTGGGTGATTATCTTCATTAATTCCCTGCAATGTTTTAACCGGAACTAACACCATTTATAAAGTCAAGACTATAACTTGTTTTTCCAAAGGCCTCTAATTAAATGGAAATGTTAATAATAAAACATATGCGTATGTATGAATTTACACATACACAAAAGTGACCAGTACAGACTTCTGTAACACCTGGAAAACAAACAGGAAAGTCTGGACTACTACGAGCTTAATTTCATATATGGTACATAAACACAACAATGAAAGGTCAGAGAAAAAGCCGTAAGATCTCACTGAAGCCAACTGAATTTAACCACTCTCAAGTTATCTTCCCTCCCCGACACATTTGATTTGTAATGCTTCAAGGAGGGCTGTGCTTATCCTGAGCTGTGCAGCATGTGCCAGGATACCAGTGCAAACCTCAGCACCTCCTGGGAATAACAGCACTCATGAGGCTTGAGTAAACACCCCATTGTCTTGGAAAACCAAGTTATAAACTGTATGAGGCCCACCCCGCAACATCTTCAGCTGCCTTCCTTGTTTTCAAAATTCTTTTCCTCCTTGGATATCAGTAAGTTGAAGATTCGCCTTGATAAAGAAGGGTTACCACCCAAACGTAGCTATTTCCATTTTTTAGGAGCAGGCTCCGCAGCACGCTGTCACTGATGAGCATACAGTTAGTAACAGCCTTTCTCCAATGTCAGTGGAAGCGTCCTTGGGTCATGAAAGTGTTGTGGGGGACAAGAGAACGCAAGCAACAGTAAAGCTGCGATAGGTCATTCCTCCCTGAGTCAGCAGCATCTCAATTCCCCATCACAGAGGGAACAAAGACAAAGCTGCAATTACTCCTGCAACTGTTACACCACCCAGGAACCTGCTAGCTACCTGTTATTGGCAACAACCACTCATCCAGTCTTCCCACAGGAGGGAAACTAAACCACACTTGGTTACAGGGTGCTCTCATCTCATCACTGGGAGTTAGAAGCTCTAAAACCTCACACTTTTAAAAGCTGTAAGTTAAAAACATAATGTGAAAGGAGATGAGGAAATTTTAAGCAATGGATGGAGAACTTCCCTTCTGAAGAAAGTGTTTTGAGGGAGGAGGGGATGACAGCAGTTTGACAGATCCCTAGCTCTCTGAAGCTTTCCCGTCCTCTTCTGATGAATTCCTTTCACTTTTATAGATTGAGCTTGAAAATATTGTAACATGGATGTCTAAAATCATGCATAACCTAAACCAGATTGATAGAAGGTGATTAAAAACTCTCCTTAAGGGATACTTCCTTAATATCTTCACCATGAAAGCTCAAAGGCCACACAATGTTTAAAATATGGTGCTTAGCTTTCAGCCAAAGGGCAGCAAGATTTCAAAAAACTCCAGGATATTTATACTACTGGGCATAAGAATACAATTTTCAATTTTTTTTTTTAAATAAAGTTAATTAAAACCTTGTAACCCTTCTGGCTTTTGAGGAAAGTAATCCAATTTTTGTGTCAATTACTATGAAATTTTAACACCAAAGGTTCAAAACATGGTCTCCCTAAGCTTTCAGCCTTATGCTGAGAGTGAAAAACAGAACTACCTCTTCCACCAACTGAAAAGAGAAGTCACTTCAGAAAATTTTTGTTATGATGCAACAGAGAGGAGCTAGCTGCAAGCATCAGCTCCAGAGAGCTATGCTGACTGACAGGGAAGCACCATTTGCTAACATGAAGGCTAAGTTCTCCAGGTTTTATTTTCTTCTAAGCCAGCAGAAAAACCTGGAACAAATTCAACCCACAGAGAACTCCCTTTCAATTTCTGGATTTACATTTTTAACGTTCATAGCAGCCTAGAAAACAGAACCCTTTGAATACCTGTTTGAGTACTCAAAAATTAGTCTGACCTAACTTCTAGATAGTCACACAAACAACATTGCCCGTGGAAACAGATAGGCAGTATTGATCATCTTCGATTGATCTGTGCAAGATTAAAAAAAAAAAAACAAAATGAAGGTGTAACCAGTTAGGCACAAAACAGAGTTATCAAAACATCTGCCACAGTCCTTCTGTTTCTCAGTGGGTATGTCTGAGCCTGAAAAAGCACAGATCTCTTCTTTACCCCCAGAAGATTTGCATTTTTGTTAGCCTTTTCTGCCTGTCATCTGGTACAAAACAGAGATTACTTATTATATCTCATGACAGAGATCTATGTGAAAGCAACTTCATCTTCCACGTATGAAATTCATTATTGTCTCCACTTACCACTGTTACTATCATAAATTGGAAGAGAACCTAATAATCTCATTTGGCTTGCATATATTCTCTAAACACTATATAGTCTCTGCATCTAGATGGTGCAGCTGGGACGGAACCAGTTTCCATCTGTGAGGTCCTACAGTATTCAACACATTTACAACAATAGCTCGACATAATTTTAAGAACTAGAGATGCCTCAGGAAAAAAACCAGACAGCCGAAACTGATGGGCTGTGATAATATTACTCTTTACTCATGGACAACTTCCTTAGAAGACAGAGTCCCTTTTAATATATCCTCTCCCTTTAAAAGTCATGCCTAAGAAAACAGAAGAACAGAATTACAGTTCATAAAAAAACATCAGGCTAGCTCAGAGTATGAATATGAGAAAAGCTCAAATAGGAGACAGTGGTCTGTGTGGCTGGATGCTTTAGCAATGAGGAACCTGCACCAGCTGTTCCATGCTTAATAAAGGGAGCTGTCTTACAGTTTATAGTGCAAAAGATATCCTGGCACTGACAGACTCTGAGCTATCTGAGCTGCCTTCGGTGCCAAAACAACACTGAATAAGACACCGGCTATACCAATTCCTAGCAGATCACCACCTAGAGAACAAATTTCATTCTGTGTTGGTATCTTCAAACTGTATCACATGAATTCAGAGAGTAAGCGGAAAGCAGAGAAAAGAATCTCAAGTTCATTCTTCCTTTGCAGATTTCAAAGGCCGAAAAATCAATACAAGCCCCCTACCTGCACATTTCATAGGTTTGTAGGAAACAAGCCTAAAACTCTGAAACAATTTTCCTTTGTCACCACAAACTGACTACCAAGGTTAAGAATGTCATCAATATTATCTTCCTCCCCCCAAATTCAGCTCTTTCTACTGCTACATAACACTGACTTCTCATACCAATTCTGCTATCTGTTCCATAGCTAGAATTTTTGGGAAAAAACCCAAACCAAACCCTTCCTAAACTGGCAAAAAAGTCACAAAAATTACAAAAAGAAAATGCCAGCTCAACAAGGCATATCATCTTCTAATCTAACCTAAAATGGAATACAATCTTAACTGCAGATTACTGGCAGGTGTTGAAATATTACTTGCAGAGATAAAACTCAAAAAGCTCACTTCATAAACGTAAATCAGAAGCTTCTCCTGTTGGGTGCAAGTATTACATGAAAAATGGCAAAAACCTGATAAGAATCTTTAAAACATTAAAAGATGGTATGACAGGATGTTAAAAAATTAAGATCATGCTAACATCTGTTACACTTAAATATGGTGAAAGCAAAAACACTAATTTTTGCCATCTATGACCACTCATCTAGTCAATCTGTCATCAATTCTTTAAATACACTCTTTTAAAAAGGCTTGCAATTTACCCTTTATTTTTCAAGCTAGCTTGATGCTAGCATCAAACCACGGCCAAATTTATTTTTAAACAAAACCAGTTCACTCTGTTGCAGCTGAAGATACATTCACAAAAAATAAGTATGTTTGAGAAAGGAAGGAAAAAAATTCATCGACATTTATGGTAATCAACAGATCTGCCACCACACTTTGGGCAGAGAAAAAACAGTTTCCGTAGGATGGATTTTTATTTCTTTTAATGGGAGAACCTGTACCACATTATCCATGTAACACACAACACTTATTCCCACATAAGAACCCCTACTGTTTGTGAAGGTATATATGAAATTTAGGCAAAGAAACAAAGTAAAATAATCTAAACGAGGTCTTTGAACACATGGTTATATAAAGTGTTAGTTGTTTTTAACTGCTACCTTTAACTAGCTACCCTTCGCAGGAGCAAATGGTGAGTTAGACAGTTGAAGAACATCATAACTTTATCCTACTAACAGCCTTTTAGAAAGGAAATGTCAAATTTAAAGAAGAAAATACTTGAGTGCAGTCATATACACACAGAAGGTAGACAAAATGACGTGACTTCTCAGCTGGGAGGTAGGAGATCAAGGACAATGCTTACAAGTTCCATTTTGTTAAGCATTCCACTTTTGCTAGGTCTTTCAAATAAAAGCGTGATACCCACCGTGATGTTTTCAAGATCAAGATGTTTGTTGTGAACAGTTTCACACAGTCTCCGAATTTTTTCCTTAATTTTATTCATGTCTTTTTCATTCAGCAGCTTGGCAGAAGAAGCATCTTGTTCCAATTCCAAAAGCCGTATCATCAGATCTAGACTTGCTCTGTCTAAATCCATGTTCAAGCGATCTCTACTCAGGATGTACATTAGAGCTGCTGTACAAAGGGACAAATTCTTGGGTTGGGAAAGAAAAGAGAGTTAGTTTTTAGTAAACATGTTAGGCAGACCTTTTACAATTTTTAATAAACACACTGAAGATATATGAAAGAAAAAGCCTGACAAGCCCCAATCTATGCAAGCACTTGCATGAGTACTTAACTGTTGTACATAAATTCCTTCTAGCAAGTTACTAATGCATTTTTCTAACCAATACAACTGAGACATAAATCACTTAATACATTTACAAAGCCCTAGTAGAAAAAGCAGGGGTTTCTACTTTTAAGGGACTCAATGCTGCAGACAGAATAAGAAACGGTAACTCCAGTAACACAGTATTTTCTATAGAAGAGACAGATGGCAGGGGAACAAAGTGAAAAAGCACAGGGTACATGGCAAGGTAGGTGAACATTCTGGTTCGATGGGATAAGCTGGTGACAGCACCAGAAAATACGGGGATCATGGGGACGGTGTTTGCATGGGAAGGGAGAAATAAAAAAAAACCAACCTGGTGACACATATTCAGACTCTGCCAAGCAGGTCTGTCAGTCAGGTTTGCCCAAACCTTTCCAGCATAAATACATTTAAGTTCCAGGTGACTATGCTTTTTGGAAGCAGCCAGAGTACAAAACAGCTTCCCCCTTGTCCTGTCCCCATCAGCCCTTAACAAATAAATGTTATCGTGACCATCCCTATCTTACACAGAATTGGCATACAGGGACCTCTTACTGGCTAAAGAATACTTAATCCTACTCCAGGAAGGAATTAAATTTCATCTTCATGAGGATCCACAAAAGCAAAGGTAGAAGGTGACTGTCAGAAGGGACAACAGACAGTGAAGAGATCAGAGCAAAGCAGTCTGTCCCTAGTGGTAAGTACAGTGCTGGCACCCAGAGACTGGTCCATCCCGGTGAGCTCCAAGTTATGGTAAAGAGGAGAAATGTTCATGGAGAATTGAGTTGTGCTGAGCACAATACTTTCAGAAACCTCTGACGGTATCTGAAGGGAAAAAAGAGCTGCGAGGGGTATGGGTATGTGTGTGTCTTACTGAGTGCAACTCTCAAGAGTCAACATGCTGCATGCATCTATTACAATTTTTTCTGTATAAATTAAAAAAGGAGACAAACTAATTCTGGAATGTGGATGTTGTACAGCTGAACAGGAAAGAGCAGAATTTCTGTGCTGTAGCAGATTAACATCTTATTTAGAGTTCAGCCAACCACCAACGCAATCATTAGCTGCTTCTGTTTATTTTAGAAGTAATAATCATACCTGGTCATGCTAAGCAGTATCAGCATTTCCAAAACAGGACTAGGCAGCTGACAGTCAATCAAAAGCTATGTTAGAACTCCTTCCTGTCTGAGTCAAGGAAACCCTCAGGTGAATGAAGACTTTCATCTGACTCACTACCAAAAATGCATTTGGAACACTGAAGGAAGCAACCAAGAGTTTCCAAAACTACATTTCCTTTCATGAATACAACCTGGAGACACAGGGTTGTTAAAAAAAAAAAATCTTAGCTGTGAATATCACTGCTCCAGCCTTGTCAGATGTAAGGCAGAAAGCAATCTATGTGGCTTGTCTACATAGACAGGATATACCTTGCTTTCCCTTAATTTCTGTTAACTACCTCTAATAAACATTGCAATTTTATCATACAAATTGTTTACTCTGGATTTAGTTGGAACTGCTTTTAACTGTCAGAAATTTCAGGTTCCTGGAAGAAGACTCTTTCCTTCATAATGGCAGTTATTAAAACAGGACACTGGAGCACGTATGTCAATACATACATGGGCCTGTGTGATGGGGGGGAGGGGGCAGCCACAGGGGTGGCTTCTGCAAGAAGCTGCCAGAAGCTTCCACTACGTCCTATTGGGCCAGTGCCAGCCGGCTCCAAGACAGACCCACCGCTGGCCAAGGCGGAGCCCATCAGCCTCAGTAGCTGATGGTATGTGCCTCTGGGAGAACACAGTTAAGGAGGGGAAAACACCTGCGCAACTGCAGCCAGAGAGGAGTGAGAATGTGTGAGAGCAACAACTCTGCAGACACCCAGGTCAGAGCAGGAGGGCTCCAGGTGCTGGAGCAGAGATTCCCCTGCAGCCCATGAGGAAGCCCATGGTGAGGCCGGCTGTGCCCCTGCGGCCATGGAGCTCCACGGGGGAGCAGATCTCCACCTGCAGCCTGGGGAGGACCCCACGCTGGAGCAGGGGGATGCCCAAAAGAGGCTGTGACCTTGTGGTAAGCCCATGCTGGAGCAGGCTCCTGGCAGGACTTGTGACCCTGTAGGGGTCCCACGCTGCAGCAGTCTGTTCCTGAAGGACGTCACCCTTCCCTGGAAGGGACCCAGGCTGGAGCAGTTTGTTAAGAACTGCAGCCTGTGGGAAGGATTCATCTTGGAGAAGTTTGTGGAGGACTGTCTCCTGTGGGAGGGACCCCACGCTGGAGGAGCAGGGGAAGGGTGTGAGGAGTCCTCCCCCTGAGGAGGAAGGAGCAGCAGAGACAACGTGATGAACTGACCACAACTGCATTCCCCATCCCCCTGCGCTGCTCACAGGGAGGAGGTGGAGAAAATCGGGAGTGAAGTTGAGCCCAGAAGAAGGGAGGGCTGGGGGGAAGGTGTTTTAAGATTTAGTTTTTATTTCTCATTATCCTACTCTGATTTGATTGGCAATAAACTAATTTCCCCAAGTCGAGCCTGTTTCCCCAGTGATGGTAACTGGTGAGTGATCTCTCCCTGTCCATATCTCGACCCACAAGCCTTTTGTTATGTTTTCTCTCCCCTGCCCAGCTGAGGAGGGGATTGACAGAGCAGCTTTGGTGGGCACCTGGCCTCCAGCCAGGGCCAACCCACCACAACATGCATTCCAGAGAAACCAAAGGTTACTCCGCTAACTCTTGTTCAGGCAATGTGGGACCTATTAGAGCAGTATCTATGAAGATATATTTTCTAGTGACCAGCGTTATCCAGGTGAGCTTCCTGGTAAAAAACCAAAAGCTTACACCCCCAAAGAAATTTCTATCAACTAGAAACTATGCAGCAGTTAACAGAGGGAAACTGCTGAATTTATGATCTGGGCTGCCAATACTTAGGCATTTCAGAAAGTCAGAGACAGTTCTTAGAGCACTACTCAGAAATGCTTGACAGACACTCCAAAGCCTGATGAAGGCAATCATGCTCATTTTGTAAGCCTCCGTACCAAGCCCTTGCCTGTCCCAAGCTCCCTTCTTCGCAACCCACCCAACTCCTTATTATGCAGAGAGCAATGGTTCTCCCTCCACGTAAGTCCATCAACACTTCACTTCAGACCTTCCACCCAGGTTAAGATACTTAAATGTGATCAGAAGGGACACAAGCAGGGGACTAGGACTTCATGCAGAAGGTTTCAGGCTGCAGGACTGCCCGAAAAGCAAAAAGGAGTGGAGTAGCTATGGGTAACACAAACCGGGTTCCTGCAACAGCACGTATACAGAAGGCCATCAGGCCAATAAGCCTCCCAATGCTGACGTGCTGCAGGAAAATTCTGATGTTGCCCAAGTGAGGACCTCAAATGTGAATGGTGCTTATGATGTGGACCAAACCCGCTTCAGCTACATGCCAGTGATACAGGTTTTCTAAAACTCATTTTTCTTAGTCCCTCTAGGAAATGTGGTTTAATCCCGAGTATAACAACTTTACATTTTGGTCTGATCTTTTTTAAGTGTTTGAAACAGCTTTCAGACAATGTGGTTAACTATCTCATGTCCTATCATACACAGAATTCCGAGTTGAGAATGAGAGGAAAATTGTTAGTACAACTAATTTTTGATCATTATCCTAAAGAAACAAAACCACCAAAGAATCCAATCAAACCCTCAAAATCCCACCCTTATGGGTTGCAGTAGTGAAGCTGGTTTTTTGGGTGGGCTTTTTTTTCCCCCCCGTCCCATTCCTCAAAATGCTTAAAACACATTCTGCTTCCAAACAAATGTGTAAAGGAGAAGAAAAAAGTAAATAAATAAAATTTGCTCTAGACAGAAATTTTATGGCATATCTAACTCTGGAGTTGCACTTCATACTTCTACAGAATTCAGGAAAACATTCTAGTCGAACATACACTCCAGAAACGGCAGACCATTTACACCCACTCTCATCCTTGCCTTCCCTTGCTTGTTCTATTTATACTCCAGCTTGTGGGAACAGATGGTTATTTTCTAGGCTTCAGCACTACGTTTAATGCACTTTTTTTTAATTATTCACATGCTGAAGACATTACAAAACCACATTTCTGTGCTTAACTACTGACAGCTATAATGAAAATATAGCTTTTATTTTAAAAATTAATAATACTCCCAAAACCTTCAGAGAATAGCTGAAGAGACAAAGTCAGCTAAAAACCTGAAATTGTAGCTTGAAGACAAACCTACAAGAAAAATTTGGTGGAACAAGTAATTTTCATGTAAATATTTTGGGGCATAGCTCAGTAAGATAACTGGTTATTTTGTTTTCCTTGCTGGTTAAAAAAAGATACTTCTGCAACTGCTTTTTATATTTTTATGGAAATGCGAAAGTCCTCTACTTTCTCACTCGACTGCATTGTATCAGTGCAATGAATGCAGTATATGCTTACATTTGTTTCCATTAGCAATGTCATTGTGGCAGTTTTTCCATCTCCAAAATACTTTGAAGAAAATATTAACAAAATAATTGTTGTTTTTTTCCCCAGTCCTTATACATCTTAAGTGGATTTGAGCCATGCAAGCAAAGCCTAGTATGATTTATTATTTTTGAGTCACTTTGCACTGAGATTTTGTGGAGAAATTTCTATTCGTTTTGAACAAGTTAAAATTTTAGTGAATAAAAGGGTAGTATAGAGAGACAGCAAGCTTACACAGGGAAGGTCACTGCTTGAAGCATACGCTGTCAGAAGTTAGAGCATATATTTTAGCGTTTATTACTAACAGTTCGATAAATCAGTAGTTTTGTAATACTGTATAACCTGTGCCAAGAATGCACTGTAACTACATTAAAACGTTAACTACCAATTTTTCTTCTTCCTCACAAAAGGTAGTGTTTCATCAAATACACTGAAAATAGTGAATATAATCAATGCTTTTTGTTACTGTAGACTAATAATAGCAGGCAATTTCCTTTTGAACTGTATGTGCTAGTTCTTTTGAAAATGAAGGCATAATGGCAACTGTTAAAAAGACTGCCCAAAGTAGCCCAAAAAAGACTGCTTGTACATTTTCCAAGGAACTCTAGCTGTCCTCGGCAGATCTCCTGCAACTCAGGGGTGGCAACTGTCCTAATCAAGTGTGACTATACTTTATTTATTTCTAGTATCACTTGGCACTATTTTGACAGCTCACAAAATAATGAACGCATTGAACCCAATTCCTACGTTTTACAGTTAGCCACTGCTAAGTTGGGAGGGAGGTGGAAACAAGCTATTTTTATAAATTAGTTACTTAGAGCTCCACAGCTTTTTCCCCCACCCACAGTAAGATGTCAAATACAATCACTTAAATGTCTATTTCTGTGGGTGAAAAGTTTCCTTCTGCATTGTATGTTGCTCTTCTAGAGTTGTTAAATAAAAGGAATAAACCTGACTGGATATACATATATACCACCCACTTCAAGTAACATTTCCAACGTTCAGCTTTTGTAACAGAAGCGCAGGGGATACCCCCGAGGCACGGCTTCCAATGGCTGGAAAAATAGCATCACCCGCAAGAAGCGTTTTCTATTACCGCTGAATTAAACTTGTGAAGTTGGTAAGAAGGAAACCCCAAGCTGCCTCAGTTTTTAACTCTTGGGTAATGTTGCCATAAGTAGTTAAAATTTACCTTTCCTAGCTTTAGCACAGAACACTGCACATACTCAAGGCATCCTACAACTGCAGTTACAGCACTGCTCAAGGAGACAAGCACAGAACATGAAAAATGCCCCACAACAGCTACAGAAAAGGCAGTAATTCACATACAAGCAAGTCTGGAGATAAGCACTTAGAGCCATCTTTAAACACAAGGAGAAAGGATTCCTTTCAAATGTATTTTATTTGAAAGAAATTATAACAATAAAACTATTTTTAAAAGCTTAAGAGAAGATATAAAATAGCAATCCAAAGCACAGGCAGTTTTTTTTTTTAAAAAGCTTAAGTGATTTTTAAAATAATTTCCAAACCCAGAAGCACATAAACAGTGGAAGGGAAATTTGACATTGGCATGCAGGTGCTTTTATGTTTCATTCCGCTACAGATTTCTAAAATGGAGCCACTGATCCCAGACGCACACTATTCCCCATGCTTGACCTTGACTTGCATGTACACAAAATTCATACAAAGTAGACAGGAATTAAACTTTAATGAAATACACAATGTATCCATACCTGATGGTGTTGGGAATCATCCAGTGTTTTGAAAACCATGGCTACCATCCCATGTGCTCTCAGATGCATTCGGAAGCTGGGCATGGCGCACTTTGTCGCCAAGCTGATTACACTAGAGAAAATTAATTTTGGATTAGAACAACTAAAACGAGCACATTTACCAAAAAGGCAGACAAACAAGTCTACAAAATGTGACTGATCATATACCTCAGACCCTGACAAACTCTGTCAGGATGTTTCTTCTGAAACTTCTTTATTCAACAGTTGCTTACCAGCACCAAACTAAGTCTGTTTTATTTTAAGGTTGGCTAAAAACAGGATTTGAAAGGGTACCCTGAACTTGCTTCTTTCAAACAAGAGTTGAAATAATTTCAAATACTTAAATTGAAAGTAAAATGTTCATGGATTGAGCACAAGCATGGAGAGGCACAGGAGAGCTTATTATGGATCAAGGCACTATCAGAAATTATAAATGTGAGCTTCCATTGCTCTCAAACAGTTACTTATCTGACTGACTGATTAGTCCCATTTATGCCGGACAATACTGTTACAAAAAACCAAACATTTTTAATACTTATTGCTGCATTTATGGTTGATGGACACACTATAGATTTCAGCAAAAAATCTGACAAATATATTAGTCTGATCAGGGATCAGAATAACAGTTCTATTCTAAAAATGGAAGTCTTCCCCTAGTTTTATTAGCAAGCCGTCTGCCATTTCTAACACAGTGCAACATACAGACTATTAAAAGTACATTGCGTTTAAATGCGGAGTAACGTGGGAGTGATTCTGCACTCAAGTCTTCCATGAGTACTGAGGAATCTTATTATAACAAGATTCATACAGGATGCTCTTTAAAGAACAAGCGGTCTTTCTGCCTCCGATCACAACAGCACCAGTTAGAGCTTACCTACCAGTTTCTGATACTTTTACGTCTATTCCTATCCTTACACATTGATTTCCTTTGGAAAAATGATTTTCTTTTTATTTAACTGCAAGAAAAAATTTTTATGGTGTTTATACAAATTATATTCCATGATATAAATTTGGAAAGTAAAAAAGTCAATTTAAGATCTTAGGAAACTTGCCATACAAGCAAATTAAGTGCACTCAATATGAAACACACTCCTAAACTGTCATTATGGTATTAATTTATTCTTATCCTAATGTACATAAAAACTGGATAATAGTTTTCTTGTAAAAATGCTTTCTAATACTTCAGCAACAATATTCGTTGCTAGTTTTTGAGGAACATGAAGAATAAACTTTAAAAATAGCTTTCTTAAAAGCATATAAAGCTTTTTCTCATCCACAGACAAATCTCAAGTAAAGTGTCCTCATCACCCATCTCTGTGGATTCAAGTTTTTCCTTCTCTAGCATTTTAGTTTTGCTAAACAGAGGAAAGTTTACTAGTATTAAAAAAAAGATTATTACATAGTTACAAAACATCATACTTTTACATCCAGGGAATGGGTACCTATATTAAGTCATCAGCTTTTTCGAAGCAAGACTAACGTTTCTGATACTAACTTCGCAATAATATGTAACTTGAATATTCAAGAGTGCAATGAGTAGTTCAAGAGAACTTGGGGAAGTTTCCAATCAATACTGAGGCCACGACAGTTCCAGTGGATGTTAGCTGTGTTATTGCTCAACAAAAGATAAAGAACAGGTGGTTGGAGTTAAACAGTATCTCAGTATTACGTTAGTTCCAGATTATAGCCAGGTAACTTCCCAGTCTTAGGGAGTTTATTTTAGAATTGGATTTTTCCTTAAATACAGAACAGACATCACACATAAGATAGCACTAAACAAAGAAAAGTTATAAAAAAATTTTTTTTTAATTTATAGCAAGGAAGACAAGAGTGTTGAAGATGTCTCTTACTGTACAAATTTCTGTTTCATCTTCCTAGTCATACTACTTTTGATTCACAATATATAATCTTGATGATTAGTTTCAAATTTTATTCTTTATAGCAGAAGTGCCAGGTGACTACTCAAACAACATTTTAAAGCACGGTCACTTCATTGATGAATATTTAATTCAGTACCTCCTTTAAATATAAGTTCAGTGTTTTATATTAAGATATCTTACCTAAGGCAACGTGTGTTTAGGGGCTGATTGCTCTTCAATCCACTTAGCAAGTACTCAATATCATCTGTGAACTCTTGATTTTCACCAAATTCCACTACATCATTGAAGTGCTTTACATGCTGAACAACAGTGTATAACTGGAAGAGACAAATATTTTCACCTAGGTAAGTTGCTCTTGGGATTGATTATAACCTTAACCTGGTACAGTTCAAGATCTACCCAGTTTTGAGTGCAAGGAAACATTAAGAAGTTGATGAAGGCCATTCAACTATTTAGATATAAATATTATCTTTAACAGGAAAGCCAAATTTCACTTTGACACTGTTCCTTCAGTACTTAGGATTACCAACAATTCTTTATCTTAAAAATTTGTTAAGAATACTTACTTCTTTGTCTTCTTTCCTACATTTCAATGCAGTTACTATCTCTTGATAGGGCTGAGTAGGTATTGTCACAGTTTTTATCACTTTGGGAGGTGGTGCAGGAGCCTTAAAAACTCCATCATCTTTATGAATTGCCTCCTTTGAAGATAGCCTTACCTATTAATAAGAAAGTGCTAAAATGGGCAGATGTTTTGAGCATGTAAACATACACTAAATACATCAGGAAACAGTACAGGTGTGCAATTGTCAAATTCACATTTTGGGACTATTTAGTCCTTGCCTTACACTATTAAGATGTACCTAAGCTGTGTAATAATGTACCTACTCTTAAAAAAAAAAGAAAGAAAAAAGATGTCAGAAATTATATGCATTTTTAAGCACAAAACCCAGTTTTAAGTAGTCAGGAAAGCTCCAGTGGAATAATGAAATTAAAAAAAGAAGGGGAAAAAAGTCCTTTACACTGATACCTCAAGGGTAAGTAAACCAACCAAGTTCAGTGTTTAAAAACAATTATTTGTTGATACTTTCAAGTATCTTACCCCCTTACACTGGAGCTTCCAGGACTAAGTTAGTTGCTACACTGAACCATCATTGGAGTACACTGGTCTGGATACGAGCACAGCATTGAGCAATCACTGTCTCAACTGAAAAACTCCGTGCCGCCTGTCCTCATGTCTAACTGCCGGAGGCTACTGCACTGCTGTAGTCAGGGTGTAGCTGGCAGAACAACCTGATACTCCAAACTGTATTTTGCATGTAGGTAGAAGGCTGCCGATAAAAATTTCGTAGCACCATAAAAAATTGCCTCAGCGAAATAAGAGAGGCCATGGTGCACACCTCAAATGGGTAGAGTGTGTTCCTGTAAATTCATGGTATTCTCCATACGCCGGCCTTATTCATGTTTGTGGTGTTAATATTTTGGGAACAACATATTACTGCACACAATACAGCAAAACCTATTCTGAACTTACAACAGGTAGTGGAGAACTTGACATTAGGTCTAGAATAACTACTGACAAGTTTCCAGCCATCTCAGGCAAGTATTTCAGGTTCTTCCTCAACCTCCTCCTCTGTAATAGTTTGAGGCTACTATAAGCCTAAGTATGAGCTTATCTTCAGATTACCTCTTTGGCACAAACTGAGATGTGAAGACAAACTGCAGAAAACCAGGCATACAAAAAAAAAAGACCCCCAAATGCCAAATTCCAAATGTACAAGTGCCAATGCCAGCAGTCATTTACTCACCCTCAATCTCTAAGTAACATCATGTACTTAGTTTCCTTACATAGAAAAATGAGCATTTTTTTTGAAGTGTGACTGAAAAAAAAAGAATTAACATGCAGGCACAGAGGATGCGTTAACTGTTACTCACTCCAGGGGTTGAGAGAAAGCTGCCTTGTACATCGTACATTAACAGTCAAAATTTAAATAGAAGCCAAAACAACCTGCTGTATTAATGGAGCATTCTTTACGTGCTGCCTCTACCACTGTGCAGCACTTCAGTATTTGCTCACTTAGGCTCCAGTGGCAAAATGCTAATAAACCACCCTGAAAAGCTGGTTTAGAGCACATACTGGAGGACTCTGATCTTATCAGTCTGTGAACACAGGAGACCCACTGAAGTATCTCATCCAAGGCTTGGTTAATGGTTTCCCCTTCAAAGCAAATTCCAAGGGAGCTTGGAGAGGCCATAAGAAAGAGTACTTGGCACAAGCAGCTTGCATGCTGTGGGTTTCTCACCGTAAATCTAAGACAAGTTTATCTATATATTCATGTAATGAAATTTCTACAGAAATTAAAGAGGCAGAAGCATCTGTGCAGGGATGTATTGGCTTTGTGTGACAAGGATTGGGGGGTTAGGGGGTGGGGGTGTGTGTGTGCTACAGGGGTGGCTTCTTTGAGAAGCTTCCGGAAGCTTCCACTATGTCCTACTGGGCCAGTGCCAGCCGGCTCCAAGACAGACCCACCGCTGGCCAAGGCCGAGCCCATCAGTGATGGTGGCAGCGCCTCTGGGAGAAGAGAGTTAAGAAGGAGGAGGTGGCGGGGAACAACAGCAACTGGAGCTGGAGCAAGGAGTGAGAATGTGTGAGAGCAACAACTCTGCAGACACCCAGGTCAGAGCAGCAGGAGGGGCAGGAGGGCTCCAGGTGCCGGAGCAGAGATTCCCCGGCAGCCCCTGGGGAAGCCCATGGTGAGGCCGGCTGGGGCCCTGCGGCCCTGGAGCTCCCCG